GCTGCGACAGCAAAGGCACCACCTATTAAACAAAAGCCATGGCCTAAGGTGGACAGACCTTGGTCTAGAATCCATGCATACTATGCAGGACCCATAGATGGATATTACTACTTGATAACAGTAGATAATTTTAGCAAGTGGCCTGAAGTTTTCAGATACAAAAACCCTACGACGGAAAACACCATCAATTGTCTACACGAGTTATTCGCAAGATTCGGCGTTGTAGATTGCCTGGTAACAGATAATGGTACACAGTTCACCTCGAGCGACTTTCAAGAATTCTGTGCGACTTACCAAGTTAAGCATATTAAAAAAAAACACCATATCATCCAAGATCTAATCGGCAAGCCGAAAGGTTTGTGGACACGCTTAAGAGAGCTTTGAAAAAAGAAGAGGATGTACCAACAGAAAAAGCCATACAACATATCCTACAAGTCTACAGAATCACCCCGAACGGAAACACACCATCTGGCCTTTCGCCAGCTGATGTTTGCATGAAAATACGGTCTGATTTTGATAAATTATTACCCAGCAAAAATAAAAACCGACATACACCGATAGTGCTTAAAAGATCCTTCAAACCAGGCGAACGGTTCTATTTCAGAATGTTCAAGAACAATATGGCATACTGCGAACCAGGTACGATAATAAGCAGAATGGGAAGTGTTCTGTATACAATCCAAGGCGAAAAATTCACTCACAGGAGACATATCAATCAGATACAAAAAAAGACGGACAGACGAGCCAAACTCGTCACCTTCGGAAATTAAAGACTCAGACTTCGCAAATCAAAGACTCTTTTTGATGCATTTGAAATTCAAGGACCACAAATAGCCACAAAGATTAGAAGAACAAGCAGGAAAAGAAAATTCACAGAGCCTCTAATAATAGACCATAAGCGGAAAAAAATATTAACTCCCCCTCAAAAAGAAGCTAAGGAGGGGGAATTGTGAGGCTCGCCCCTTGTACACAAGAAAGACTTGTCCAAGTATATTTATACTACGGAGAGTTAGCGTGACAAAAAAGGGTCAACACAGGGTGTTCACTCAGAGTTACGAGAGTCCAGAAAGAGAGATAATTAAGGCTTCACTTACAGAGACTTGTAAATATACTTTTCTACTAACCCGCATTCCTGGACTACTAATCTTCATTTCACTTTGTATTCTTACGTTTAATACACATATTTTCCTATTTCTATTACTGGTGTTGTTATTTATTTGTGCCGGATTTCATACCCGGAATCCACAACAAATAGTAAAAACAACTTATGATCCTTGAAGCAATATTACCTTGAAGCAATATTCATACAACAAAAGCAACCATGAATAAATAAAAGACAATTAAACGCTCGCATCCTCAAAATATTTATATTCAAAAAAATATAGTCAAATTTGATTACGTCGCAACACTTTTTGTTTACGTCACAAAATTCACTAGTTCTACAAATCTCACCAGATGTTTATACCTAACCTGATGATGACTTAACATTTTCAATAGTTTGAACTATATTTCTTGTACATTTCTTCCGAAACGAAATTCAGAAAAATTTCTGACGTAATTTTCCCCTTGTCTGCGAATGATAATTCGCAATGGAAAAGTCGATCATTAAAATTAATCTACACATATCTCCTGTTTTTAACATTTAGGTTCTATAATATATATATATATATATATATATATATATATATATATATATATATATATATATATATGTATGTGTGTGTGTGTGTGTGTGTGTGTGTGTGTGTGAAAGTGTATATAAATATAAATAAATATAAGTATGTATAATTATTTATATATTATATGTGGTACTGAGTTTGTCTGACGATCGCTAAAGCGTGAAACCCAGGTCACAAACTCACATCTATCCAACAAATATATATATATATATATATATATATTATATACGTGTGTATGTATATATATATATATATATATATATATATATATATATATATATATATATTAGTGAATATACATAATGTTCAATGTCGATAGCATGACTAGCAGCTTCCAACTGCATGAAACTCCGAGTCGTGCTATATATGGCCACGTGACCGAGCGGTTAAATCGTTGGCTTTCTGATCAAGAGCCAGGATAACTTTGGGCCGTTGAGAGCTGTCACCGAGGTTGTTCAGAATCTGTGACTCAGGTCTGTTTATAAACCACACGTTGGCTCTGTGGGTGTTGAACAAACACAAATGTGCCTGAGCCAGAGTCTGCAATAGGGACTGATTAGCAACCCGACAGATAACCTTGGATACGAATGACCGGCTATTATTATATACTTATAGCTCTGTTACATCAAATTGGGCGGTGTATTTACAATATCTGAGAAGGAAATATATTTATGCGTACGAGCAAATACATATGCGTATACGAAGAAAAATATACTGAAAAAAAACAAACAAAAATCCTAGTCGGACGTTTCGGTCTAATAGACCATCTTCAGGACATATTCATAAAGCTTAATTAACATAGACCATATACAATTCAACATGAAAAAGAAGATATGTATATGTTTATCATACCCATATATATATATATATATATATATATATATTTACTTTAAAACTATTATATATATTATATAATATATATATATATATATATATTATAATATATATATATATTTTTTAAATATATATATATTTTTAAATATATATTTGCTTTAAATACATATATATATATATGTATACGTGTGTGTGTGTGTGTGTGTGTGTGTGTGTGTGTTTGTGTGTATGCAAAATTGTGATATTTTATTATTGCTTCAGGTAAATGTGTAAATGGATTAGCCGAGGATTTTTCAACACCCACCATGCCAACTGAAGTGTAAATGCAGCCGAAGAGAGACTGTCGTCTTTTACCCTCTGGTTCTTTAAAGTTGTAAATCACAAACGCCATAATGCAAACGAGCGGAAGTTGATTTCTGAAAAAAATAAATACAAAAATCAAATAACTGCTATATACGTCAATTCATTTATTTATACATATTTATTTATATAACTATTAATATCGCCGTATTTTCGTCACAACAAATACCAATAATTATAACGGTAGATGTTTCGGAACATAGATTGTATGTATAAACAGTGGATTCATACAGTATAATACTGCAAACTTATTATCAGTTCATAGTTTAAATGATAGTATGTTAAATAATATAATTTCCGTGTATTTTAGACTTAAACCCCAATTCATATTTTCATTTCCTATTCCTGCTCTCTTTTTCTAAAATTAACAAACTTCGATATTTTTGTTTGTTTATTTATGTACTAAAGTGTGTCCCAATAACTTGGACCGATTTTGAATGCGAATTAAGTTTAAGCGTCTCTTGAGTTTTTTTTTTCTTTTAAATTTAACAACTGAAGTCTTTGACAGTTTGAACCATCGAAAATCTATCAATCAACATTTGTTAAGGTTATCGAAGCCTATTACAAGAATGGACGTTCAGACAGAAATGCGTTACAAGATCATATCAAACTCTCGAAACAGCGAAGTCAATGGGCCACCACGATCGTATGACTTGACTTGACGCCTTTAGATTTCTATCTTTGGTGTCATCTCAAAAGTAATTTCTATGCCAACAAGCCAACAACAATTCAACAGCTGAAAGATGAGATAATAAGGCATATTGGTGAGATCGAAGAGCCACTATGCAGAGATGGCATCAAATATTTTAACCATCGAGTGGTGTGCCGCCGAAGCATTGGCGAACATTTGGTCGATATTATTTTTCACATATAATTGCCATGACTTAAATGACATGATCTATTAGAGAAATAAATACATTTTCAATCATAACACTAATTTATTTATGCTGATTTTGATCCGTTTTATTGAAACACACTTTATTTTGTAATTAGTCCTACTTCCTTCTGTTTTTGTTTATTTATATATTTAAAAAAAATCTTTTATCCTCTCAAACACTTAATGTATATAATGATTATCTACGTACATTATATATGTTACAAAGTTTGTCATAGCCGGAGCTGATAGTGGAGACAATCTCTCGCTGTCTCTGAAATGCTTCTGTAGCATGCGTCTCAAATAGCCTCTAGCAATTACGTGCAGCTCCAAGACGGAGAATGGCCGAAGGTGGAAGACTGACGCCTTATAACCAGCTTGAAAGTCCAGGAAAACTGTCCATCTAGGGGAAGGAACAACCTGATTTTATACTCCCGATGCTTTACAATCATATTCAAAACACTGAAAAGGCTATGCCTGCAGAAAGAGAACCCGTTGTGGAACCCCGATTACGATTCGTTAACAACTTTACGGCAAATCCTACAGCCAAGTCGTCACCAAATAAAACGACTTGCAGTCTTTATAGATCTCGTCGTTACACCAGTGAACGAGGACATATAGACTGAACAGGGCACGACATCCTTATACCATCACCCAGGTTTGTGCCCTGGAAATATCTATCTAGTGTCACCACCTAAGAACCCAAATTTTGAAAAGACATGGCGCTGCATTTACTTCGGGAGATCAACGGATATCTACTATAGTTAATGTCAATTTCATGGGTTTAGTGTTGAATATAAGTAATTCTTTGTGATAGGAAGGACATTCCACGTCGCATTCTCTTGGATTTCGTCGGTGTTTTCAAATATATATTTTTCTTTTATCTGTGAGTTGATTTCTCGAAAAAGAAAAAGTCACAAGGGTCGAGATTTAGTGAATAAGAATATTCAGATCATGACTGACTAATGTTTTCACATATTTTATATATAGGTTATTGAAAGCTTAAGGGAATTTAGAGATGGAGAAAGCTAGTCCTCCCCTCTACACTTGCTTTGATTTAATTCTTTCCATTAATTATAACCATGATT